AGAGGGCCCAGTAGCAACCGGTGAAGAGGCGGGGCCAGGAGCTAAGACTCGACCCCTGCAACCACAAATAGGTGAGTACAAATAGGTGAGTGCACACACACACACACAACCAGAAAATGGCTCCTAGAGCTCAACCCCACCTAGTGCAAAGTCATGAAGATTGAGAAGGGCAAAGAAGACCGCAGACAGAGTACAGTCTAGGGAGCAAAGACTGCAAACCTCACTTGTCGGGGTGAGTATAATACCGAGCACATCTTCTGAGGCGCAAATCAACCAAATAACTGCTGCAGCGTATGGGCGCCTAGCAAACCTAAGAACAGCATTTCGACATTTCAGTTAGGAATCGTTCAGGACCCTGTACACTGTGTACGTCAGGCCCATAGTGGAGTATGCAGCACCAGTTTGGAACCCACACCTAGCCAAGAACGCCAGGAAATTAGAGAAAGTGCAAAGGTTTGCAACAAGACTAGTCCTAGAGCTAAGGGGCTTATCCTACTAGGAGAGGTTAAGGGAAATCGACCTGATGACACTGGAGGACAGGAGAGATAGGGATATATGATAACGACATATAAAATACTGAGAGGAATCTACAAGGTAGACAGACAGGATGTTCCAGAGATGGGACACAGCAACAAGGGGTCACAGTTGGAAGTTGAAGACTCAGATGAATCACAGGGATGTTAGGAAGTATTTCTTCAGTCATAAAGTTGTCAGGAAGTGGAATAGTCTGGAAAGTGATGCAATGGAGGCAGGATTCATATACAGCTTTAAGAAGAGGTACGATAAAGCTCGTGGAGCAGGAAGAATGACTTAGTATCGACCAGTGAAGAGGCGGGGCCAGAAACTGTGACTCGATCCCTGCAACCACAATTAGGTGAGTACATAATATTCAGCATTACGAAAAATTAAAAAAAAAAAAAAACTGGACACACAAAACCAAGTTTTTTTTTTTTAAGCAGAATACTAAGAAAACTGTAAAAAATAGGAAGCTCGTGATGCAGCAAGGTATTGTACGAGTCTACCCCGTGAGTGTGAGGGGTGACTGCGAGGGTGTTATAGAAAACAGTGAGGGAAGCAAGCACGGGAAACCGTGACTCAAAGTACGGCTCACAACAGAAAGTGTGCGAGTTCGATTGCCGGAAGAGTCGACACGTACGGGCAAGTAGGTTCACACCTGTGTGACCTGTTGACCTAGCAGTAAATAGGTGCCTGTGTATTAGTCGGCTATAATAATAATAATAATAGTAATAATAATAATTCTTTATTATTACAAGTACATATACAAGGTATACAGACCATAGCTGACATTAATGACACACTACCATATAGAAAGCTCCTAGGTATGAAGAGCATTTCGGGCAAATTAGGTCAATTTTGTCCCGGGATGCGACCCACACCAGTCGATTAACACCCAGGTACCCATTATTACTGATGGCTGAACATAGACAACCAGTGTAAGGAAACACGCCTAGTGTTTCAACCTTCGCTGGGAATCGAACCCGAACCCTCATTGTGTGAAGAGAGCTTTGGCCACGGTGACGTCTTAGGAAAGAAAGACCATAACAACAATAGTAAGCAAACAAAAGCGTAAACAATAGCGTAATCAAGGCACCCCTGGCTTATAATACCGAGATATTAACCAAGGATATTATTATTATTATTATTATTATTATTATTATTATTATTATTATTATTACATTCATGTGGGGAGCAATAAACTCGTAAGGGTTATACAGCTCTTGTGGGGGGGGGGGGTAATGAGAGACAAGTGGTTTAGATCCAGAGAAGAGGTTAGGTTTAGTTCCCTGGATCAAGAGCCTCTCGTCAGTATCAAGGAGCCTGCATTGTGTAAAAAAATATATTGAGAGGAGATAAAGATTACCAGCAGATATTTTGCCTTTTATACTTCTATTACTATTGCTGTTACTATTATTACTATTATTTCTGCTATTACTTCTATTACTGCTATTACTATTATTACTATTACTACCATTACTGCTATTACTATTATTACTGTTATTACTGATAAATTAGACACATGTACAACACTTGGGTATATTTACTGAGGAAACGTTTCGCCACACAGTGGCTTCATCAGTCCATACAAAGGAGATTCGTGAAGAACAGGAGGAGTTTGAGGTAATCAGTCCCTCAGCTTTGTTCTTCACGATTCTCCTTTGTATGGACTGATGAAGCCACTGTGTGGCGAAACGTTTCCTCAATAAAGATACCCAAGAGTTGCACATGTGTCTAATTTATCAACATGTCGGTTCTGTGAACCATTCATCTAGAATACTGCTATTACTACCATTACTGCTGCTATTAGTATTATTACTGCTATTAATACTATTACTGCTACTACTATTACTATTATTACTGCTATTACTATTACTGTTATTACTGCTATTACTATTACTATTATTACTATTACTGCTACTATTATTACTGTTATTACTACTACTATCAGTACAATAATAATAATATACACTAAGAGACATACCTGTGGATGTATATATAGTGTGGGATATGTATATGGTGTGGAGGTGTGTAGCTGGTGAGTGAGGTGCTGTGTACAACACCTTGACCAATGGTTACACTCGTGTATTTAACCTCACCAACGTTAACTGCTCACCAGCTGCTCTTACAACTCTCTAACTGCCTGTTGTCTTGATCGTGTCTCGTATTGTACTGTCTAGTCTTCTGTTTGTCTGTCTGCTATTGTCCGTACGAGGTATTGCATTATTATTATTATTATATTCATGGTGAAGCGCTAAACCCGTAAGGATCACACAACTCCTGGGGAGCGGGACACTGTGTAGGTTCGATCCACAAAGAATCAGGAGCACTTCCAGGTATCAAGGCTTCTCCTGCCCTGAAGGAAATTTGCCATCAGTCAGGCTATTTTGGTCTCTGACTTGAGGCGACCACACTGTGGTCTTTCTGGCTTGTGTACTGACCCTGCTGTCAGTGCGGTAGGTCGAACCAGGGGTCCGGTCTTCGTTTTTTAGATGGGACGGATGGTTAGGCATGCCACATGTTCACTACATGTCAAGAATGCTTTAGGCATGCCACATGTTCACTACATGTCAAGAATGCTTTAGGCATGCCACATGTTCACTACATGTCAAGAATGCTTTAAGCATGCCACATGTTCACTACATGTCAGGAATGCTTTAAGCATGCCACATGTTCACTACATGTCAAGAATGCTTTAGGCATGCCACATGTTCACTACATGTCAAGAATGCTCTAAGCATGCCACATGTTCACTACATGTCAAGAATGCTCTAAGCATGCCATATGTTCACTACATGTCAAGAATGCTTTAAGCATGCAACATGTTCACTACATGTCAGGAATGCTTTAGGCATGCCACATGTTCACTACATGTCAAGAATGCTTTAAGCATGCCACATGTTCACTACATGTCAAGAATGCTTTAAGCATGCCACATGTTCACTACATGTCAAGAATGCTTTAAGCATGCCACATGTTCACTACATGTCAAGAATGCTCTAAGCATGCCACATGTTCACTACATGTCAAGAATGCTCTAAGCATGCCACATGTTCACTACATGTCAAGAATGCTCTAAGCATGCCACATGTTCACTACATGTCAAGAATGCTCTAAGCATGCCACATGTTCACTACATGTCAAGAATGCTTTAGGCACGCCACATGTTCACTACATGTCAAGAATGCTTTAGGCATGCCACATGTTCACTACATGTCAAGAATGCTCTAAGCATGCCACATGTTCACTACATGTCAAGAATGCTCTAAGCATGCCACATGTTCACTACATGTCAAGAATGCTCTAAGCATGCCACATGTTCACTACATGTCAGGAATGCTTTAGGCACGCCACATGTTCACTACATGTCAAGAATGCTTTAGGCATGCCACATGTTCACTACATGTCAAGAATGCTCTAAGCATGCCACATGTTCACTACATGTCAAGAATGCTCTAAGAATGCCACATGTTCACTACATGTCAAGAATGCTTTAGGCACGCCACATGTTCACTACATGTCAAGAATGCTTTAGGCATGCCACATGTTCACTACATGTCAAGAATGCTCTAAGCATGCCACATGTTCACTACATGTCAAGAATGCTCTAAGCATGCCACATGTTCACTACATGTCAAGAATGCTCTAAGAATGCCACATGTTCACTACATGTCAAGAATGCTCTAAGCATGCCACATGTTCACTACATGTCAAGAATGCTCTAAGAATGCCACATGTTCACTACATGTCAAGAATGCTCTAAGAATGTCACATGTTCACTACATGTCAAGAATGCTCTAAGCATGCCACATGTTCACTACATGTCAAGAATGCTTTAGGCATGCCACATGTTCACTACATGTCAAGAATGCTTTAGGCATGCCACATGTTCACTACATGTTAAGAATGTTCTAAGAATGCCACATGTTCACTACATGTTAAGAATGTTCTAAGAATGCCACATGTTCACTACATGTTAAGAATGTTCTAAGCATGCCACATGTTCACTACATGTCAAGAATGCTTTAGGCATGCCACATGTTCACTACATGTCAAGAATGCTCTAAGAATGCCACATGTTCACTACATGTCAAGAATGTTCTAAGAATGCCACATGTTCACTACATGTCAAGAATGCTCTAAGCATGCCACATGTTCACTACATGTCAAGAATGCTTTAGGCATGCCACATGTTCACTACATGTCAAGAATGCTTTAGGCATGCCACATGTTCACTACATGTTAAGAATGTTCTAAGAATGCCACATGTTCACTACATGTCAAGAATGTTCTAAGCATGCCACATGTTCACTACATGTCAAGAATGCTCTAAGCATGCCACATGTTCACTACATGTCAAGAATGCTCTAAGCATGCCACATGTTCACTACATGTCAAGAATGCTCTAAGAATGCCACATGTTCACTACATGTCAAGAATGCTTTAGGCACGCCACATGTTCACTACATGTTAAGAATGCTTTAATACCGAAAATAGTGTATATTCACTAAGACATATACAGCTCTCGGTGTATGTACATTAAGAGATCCACACCTTTCGGAGTATATACACTAAAAGATATGCACCTCTCGGAGTAAATACATTAAGAAATATACACCTCTCGGTATATATACACTGCAAGATATATAAGAACACACTTCTCATTATATATGCACACATACAAACATCTCGTTGTATACACACCGAAACACACACACACACACACACACACACACACACACACACACACACACACACACACACACAATCTCGGTTTATACACGACGATCCCCTGACTCATTAGCAAGTTACATACCTAACCAATGACTCAGGAAGTGGCAAAGTCAGTAACAAACCTAACAATCGACATAATTACTAATCACTTCGTTTGAAGCCTAATTACCATTTGGATATTAATTGATTCATTAACAATGAATATATTAGCATGATGCAGCAAGCAGTTAACACTGCTGATCTATCTGGTTGCAAAGGTTACGATTACAGCCCATATTATTACCACTACTATCATTACTATTACTATTACTGCTACTGCTATTACTATTATTATTACTACTACTGTTACTACTACTACGACTGCCTTGCATAACTTTCTCGTGGTTTTGCTTTATATAAAGGAGAAATAGCAGAGTTGGAGATACCAAACTAAGAGAGCGTTAGACGTATTATCCGGAAACAGAAGTAGCAATGGTAAAGATACGAGAGAGAGAGAGAGAGAGAGAGAGAGAGAGAGAGAGAGAGAGAGAGGAGAGAGAGAGGAGAGAGAGAGAGAGAGGGAGAGAGAGAGGGGAGAGAGAGAGAGAAGGAGAGAGAGAGGAGAGAGGGAGAGAGAGAAAAAAAAGAGTAACCATGGGTCACAGTGTAAGTCAACAAGCAGGCTAACTCCCCCGCCATCGCACCAACATTCCTTCAAAGGTCACCTGGTAAAAGTCTTTAAGCAGGTGCTCCGTCATGTCTGACTTCTGACAAGGCCACAACAACAACAGCGCTAATATTACGATATTAATACGTGCCTTATTCATATGTTTCTAAGACACGACTGGTGGTCTTCAGGGGATCGAACAGCACTTACATAATGGGAGATAAATCAGGTTTGGTATAATGTGCTTAAGGAAAGGTAGCCATATTTATAACACCGAGAGATGTACAGGTGATACTGGATTAATGGTTTCTTGTTTCTTATGGTTTCTAACTTCTGAATGGTTTCTTGATTCTTCTGAATGGTTTCTTGCTTCTGAATGGTTTCTAATTTCTGAATGGTTTCTAACTTCTGAATGGTTTCTAACTTCTGAATGGTTTCTTGTTTATTCTGAATGGTTTCTAACTTCTGAATGGTTTCTAACTTCTGAATGGTTTCTAACTTCTGAATGGTTTCTAACTTCTGAATGGTTTCTAACTTCTGAATGGTTTTTCTGACTACAAGACTCACACTGTCACTGGGCGCCATAAGTCCCAATTTGCCAATTTTATTGAATAGTGATATTCAGGTGCAAATTTGAAATTTGACTGCAATAGATAAAAAAATACTGGCATTGTTAAAATCAGATCAATGACTTTTACGATCGGCTTCAAACTTTTACTATAAGTGCCACGTAATAACTAGCGAATGACTCTTCCGATCAGCTTCAAACCCCGGCTGTCGATGTTTTATAATAATAACTTCTGCATTAATTTTGAGTTGTGTGTGTATGCCTATTTACCAGTTTTTTGCTGATTTTATCAAGAAGGTCTTTTCGAAAATTGAAAATAATTTTTTTTTTTACAGGGCTGTAGAGAATTTTAAATGTGAATACCTGGAGTTTACCTGGAGAGCGTTTCGGGGGTCAACGCCCCCGCGGCCCGGTCTGTGACCAGGCCTCCTGGTGGATCAGCGCCTGATCAACCAGGCTGTTGCTGCTGGCTGCACGCAAACCAACGTACGAGCCACAGCCCGGCTGATCCGGAACTGACTTTAGGTGCTTGTCCAGTGCCAGCTTGAAGACTGCCAGGGGTCTGTTGGTAATCCCCCTTATGTGTGCTGGGAGGCAGTTGAACAGTCTCGGGCCCCTGACACTTATTGTATGGTCTCTTAACGTGCTAGTGACACCCCTGCTTTTCATTGGGGGGATGGTGCATCGTCTGCCAAGTCTTTTGCTTTCGTAGTGAGTGATTTTCGTGTGCAAGTTCGGTACTAGTCCCTCTAGGATTTTCCAGGTGTATATAATCATGTATCTCTCCCTCCTGCGTTCCAGGGAATACAGGTTTAGAAACCTTAAGCGCTCCCAATAATTGAGGTGTTTTTTTCTCCGTTATGCGCGCCGTGAAAGTTCTCTGTACATTTTCTAGGTCGGCAATTTCACCTGCCTTGAAAGGTGCTGTTAGTGTGCAGCAATATTCCAGCCTAGATAGAACAAGTGACCTGAAGAGTGTCATCATGGGCTTGGCCTCCCTAGTTTTGAAGGTTCTCATTATCCATCCTGTCATTTTTCTAGCAGATGCGATTGATACAATGTTATGGTCCTTGAAGGTGAGATCCTCCGACATAATCACTCCCAGGTCTTTGACGTTGGTGTTTCGCTCTATTTTGTG